GCTGAAAAGCATAAATCTACAATCCCACAGGAGGGCACCGCTAATTTTAAGAGGTACATATACAGCAACGGAAGTTAATGATGTTATTGCTGACAGGATCTAAGTTCACTTATTTCAGGGAGAAGAAAGCAGAGTAAAAGAAAAACACAGAACACATTTAGAATCTCTATTTCCACATGGAAGAAATGTAAAGATCTTGCCAAAGCAATCTTCACATACAAGAAAATTTATCGCCTACTTCTGTATTTTCTTGAGAAAACAAGAATTTGGAGAAAAAAAGTCTCACTTTCTAGAACAAGTCCTTACTTGTTTTGTGGACAAGTAGTAAAAAGGCTTTAAGCATAATTAAATTGGGAGTGCCATCGGTGTTTCAGTAACATACAATTTTAGCTTTCGTATCATGATGTTTTTCAAATAATACAGAAGAGCTTTTCCACATTCCCACAAGAGCTTTTATTGGTGTGCAACATATTTTAGCAAAAAACCCCAAAAAGTTACCTCTATTCAGTGTGTTTCAAAGTGTTTCAAAAAAAGCAGAGATATTAATCTGCACGGAATCTCTGGGTCTGTGGTATTAATGAAATGTGTCTGAATTTCAAGAGGAAACTGTATCTTTCAGCCACAAGCACAGCGAGTTTTAGGAATCTATCAAGGACAGTAATTCTGAATAGAACTCCACCAGGTTCACTTTCCTCTCTACCTTAGATTTGTTTTTCCAGCAAAGTGTGTGCTTTTATGTTGTCAAATAATATTTACATAAAAACAGAGTAGTATACAAGATTCAAAGAGAATAATTTAGGAAACTTCTTTCCATGATTTGACAGAAAAACCAGCAGAGCCAAATTTTTTTTTTTTTTTTTAGTTTCAGAAGATGTAATTTAATTTTGAGAAGAGTTTGTTAATTTTTTTAAGAGTGGCTCGCTATTTACAGAGCACAGCAGTAATAAAGTTGCACCTGCCAAAACTACTACAATCTGATGACTCAGTCTCCACCAGTTTGACCACAGCAATTTAACCAGCAGTTTAGTTTACTTCATGACAGAATCCTGGATTCTTCTGACTGAAGTTTTCAAAGTTTCAGAGTCTCTCTCTAAAATAGCTATGTTAACACCAATACAGCTCTGACAAATACACAGAACTAAGTTTACTCAAAAGGAAAGATCAAGTGAAGTGGAATGACAACTCAGCAAACTGAAGCACTTACACTATTTAGACAGAAAAAAGAAACAAATTTCTTTAAGATGCATTACTCTTTGTTCCCTTCCAGAGCTCTCTAAAACAGAGTATTAAAACATGTAGAAGAGGCTATAAAGCGCTCCCCCTACATTTAAGCACTGCACACAATACCATAGACAGGAATTAAACCATCTGACATCGCATGTGGCTTTACTGGTTTTTTAAAAAAATAATGGGTAATATAACCCTTTTCTAGACTGAAAAGAGCAGAAAGTTATGAGGAAATAAATAAACCGAAGAGTAAGCTGGAAAGGAGATGGAACACTCACTGCTCAATCACTTCACTGAGATGTTGAGAAAAAAGTCAAGATGAAGGGAGGAGCACTTTTATTTACTACACAGAATGGAATATGATGTGGCAGGTTCAAATAACAACTAGTCATGTCTCTCAGCACTTACTTGACAGTTCTGAAGAGCAAGCTAAAAGATAAACAGCCACCTGCTTTGCAAGTACCTTTTGCAATTACAGATGTTTTACCTACTGACATGATGTTTTTACCTGTTTTGTAACAAACAAAAAATATCCCCTGAAGTAGAAGAAAATCCAAGATCTTTTTTTGCCATAACAAATCAAATCAGCGTAACTAGAAAAACAAACAAAAAGCCCAACCCCAAAATCAAAGTGCTGGCTCTGAATATTTGGAAATAAAAATCATTACATCTGAACAAGTTCTATTATGTATTATAAACATGAATTGTGAACCTTGCAGTAAAAAGCTAACAACTTTAAAACAATGAATCAGACAAAGCTTCAAGCAGTGAAAAAAACCACCAGATTCTAGGGAAATAAATTCCATAAACATTTGAGGAAACAGTGACAAAATAAACTGCTTCAGGAGTGGTTATGAAAACAAAGCATTTTTCACCCAAGATAATCTCAGTTTCACTGCATCTTACCCGATAACTCTCTAAAGTTAACATAGTCAAGCTGAACAAACTGGATTCTATCCTGCCTCACTCACTCGAAATACCGTCAAGCAAGCAGACTGAGTTTTAACATTGTAGATGTGTATACAGACACAAACACACACGTGTGAATGTATACGGCATTTTCAAAGTCGCTTTGTTCAGCACATTGAACAATACCCAAAACCAGCAACTAGTCTTTCAAATTTTTCATTGTAATTTCAGAAAAGCAGAAAACTTGTCAGAAGCAAAGCTGAGTTTATAAACAAACAAGAAAAAACACTTTTTAAACATAAAGTAGTAAGATCCAAACATGCTAAAATCCATGACATTTACCTGAACTTTAGCAATAGCATCCATGCAGATGTGCCTCATTTGCAAAGAGGCACATCATTTGACTTGTCATCAGGCTAAAACTACATAGCCATCATATTTTTGAGACAGCTAGGAAAACTCTCTTAACAGAACAAATGTCTGAGATTCAGCTCAAAATTAACAGCGCAATAAAATATTAGAGACTGCCACCTAGTGCCTATATTAAACATCACTAAAGTACAAACATTTCAAGCTTATACTTTAAAATATTATTTCTTATGCAACTAAACTAGCATTTGTTCTAATTAGAACATGCATTCTAAACTATGTATTTAAAAGCACTTAACATATACAAGACATATCTATATTAATAATGCATATGCAACAATAAAAAAAAATCAGCTACTATAGATCAACTTGAACTTTGGGGAAATCCAGAATGATAATCCTGAAATCCTTATTTTTTTCAAGGAAAAATTACATCAATACAAATACTTTTATTTTAAGCTACACTAAGGGTTTACATAATCAGCTTTACTGTGAAGTAGCAACTTCTATGAAGGAAATGAATTCTATCTAATTTTTTAGGTCTATGCCAAAAAGGCAAACCAAAAATCCTGTGCATTACCAACTTTAGTGTAGATCTGAACAAAAAAGCAAGGGGTTAAGATCTATAATTTTTTAATATTATTCTGATTAGTTAGTCCCATCCAATTAATCTCTAAGATTCTTTAAAGGAAAGAAAATAGCACATTTTATACAGGGATTCTTTGGGCAAAGTTAACTGTGGGAACTAGGAAATCTTTTGCTGTGAAAAAATCAAACTTTTGTTTCTATATCAAAGAGTCTATCAAAAGACATGAGCCAAGTCATTAACTCGAGTCCAAGAAATACTAAAACACTGTTCCAATAGATATTAGTTAAAAGAACAAAACCATACGGTAAGACTACATCTCTGACCTTTATTAACCTGAATATGCCTAAGCAGCACTGTTATCAAACTGTTGTGTCTGAAGGCAACAACGATGACAGTTAGGGACTGGTGGCAAAGCTTAAAGGTTCCATGCACACCTTTGCTTTGGCTAGTTTAGACCAAAACTTCTATTTTACATTGGAAGAAGTCATTAGTAGCTCAAACAGCACTGAAAGGCCATGAAATTAAGCACACGCATAAATAGAGAAATATTATTTAAAGGTATCAACACCTTTCTCTTGAATCAACTTACCGTAAGCCATAGCAAGGCAAAGTGATGAACCGGAACATTGCCAGAAAAACTCTCAAAGGAAGTAGGGTGAACACATACAGAAAAGCATCCAGGCACAAAAAGATTCCAAAAAACATCAACTAAATTACAAAAATAAAACAGAAGTATGTTAGTAGCTTATAAAGAGTTACAAAATGTTTTTAAAGAATTATATTATTTTATGAAAAATACATTTATGTAAGACTAATTAACCAAATAAGCACAATACTCTCACTTGTTCCATCAGCTGATCTGTAAGAAAAATAACATAATATGCACTTGGAAGACTATTCAGCAAAAATTCTGCACCACAAGTTCCAGGCAGCAAAGGCTTTTGCGGACTTCCATGGCTCACCGAACTCAGCCTTTACTGAACAGATGAACTGCAGCTCACTTTCCAATGGTGACTTTGCTCTAACGTTACAAAAGTTATTGTTTTTAATCTTAGGAAAAAAAAATCAGAGCTGTAATTACAGCTGTGGTAGCTCTCATATCTACCTTTTTCATACAAAGAAGAATATAAAATATGAAGACAGAAACTTCCAGTTGCTCCCAGTTTAAATGCTTTATCCTTAATTTACATAAACGGTTAAAGCCATCTCATTACAGCCACAAGCCAAGCAACTCTATCATAATTGAACTAGATATGAACTCTGCAATTAGAAAACTCTTATATACCACTCTCTCTTCATATGACATTCCTTCTTTATCTGCTCTCTGTACTTATCTAAGATTTACCTGAATGGGACTCTAGGCATATGCTTTTATGCTTCTGTCAGACCAGAAACTACTGTTTTTATCCTGCAATGAAAATCATATAAAAAGGCAAGCTTAACTGGCTACAGAATTAAGACTAGTAACATCTAAGCAGGGCTAGATATCCATGATCATGCATTTATATGTGAAAGTTCTATGTATTGCTGATGGGAAAGGAAGATATACATTTGAGGGAGGAAAAAAGTAAACCAAAGCACAATTAAATTACTTTTATCTCCCACAATCTCTTTGCCTTTCAAAATACTTTCATTTTCAGCTTGTACAACAGTCAGCTCAATGTCCAATGAGCTAACATCAACAGTAGATACCTTTCTCTCACTCTTCATGCATCCTTGTAATTTTGAAAGCAATCCCACGGAGTACACTCCAGTACACCTATCTGCAAGCCGTGTAACATGACTGACTTGGGCATCAGAGCACTGTTATAATCTCTGAGCTGCTGCTCTCCTTTATAATAACAAAAAAAATCTCCTTTATAACCTTTTCTATCAATTCTGTAGTCTGTACTTTAATACCATCACAACATTAAGGTCTCCTCACTAATCTACCTCTAGTACAATTTTCTAAAATTTCGGCAGAGTTATCATTCAAATTTATCAGCAGTAGTTACAAATAATGGATTAATTTATGCATCACATTTTAATTTGCCATTAAGTTACCAATTTCTTTGCTTTTTAACCAGGCGCTGAATATCAAAGCAGTGAGGATGACCGGAGCTGAACATGTATCTTCTTTCTTTTTCTTATTTTTTTTAAATCTCCTTAACCCAAGTGAAAGGGTTAAGACAGCCTGACATTTTGCACCTGTATTCTTTGAAGATATCTTTATAATCTAGAAAACGACTCTACATTTTCTTTTTGATTTAGACAGACATTTTAACTGAGTATAATCACAGTTTTTCACATTTTATAAGCTTGCATTAATATTTGCAATTGTTGTTTAATTTCCTCATTTTCCTAACCTTTACTACACTGCACTTGCGCACTTACACACACCTGCTGAAATATAATCAGCACTGAATCTCCCACTCATTTCAGAAAACATTATTTTTGCTGCTACATACCTGACACTGAGGAGCTGACAGAAAAGCTTACAGAGCTTTTCCATTATCATAACTATATCTAAAGATAGCACAAAGTTTAATTTTGAGACCAATTGACAAGTATTCCCTTAAGACAGCAGGTTTTTTTACCTTTTCATTTAGTATAAATAACCTATTACAGTGAAGAGCTTCCACTGAAACTGCACAAAAAACTTGAGTGGAAGTAGTGTTTATTTTGCAAATTATTCAGCTTCTCCACATAAAACTGGTATTCAGAACAACAACAAAACCCATTATATTCCACCCCACTTTAAAATTATGTACATGTAATAAGTGCATAATCTCCTGAGATTATGCTTTGATAAATTTACTCCAGTTTATTCTCACTCTACCTGATGATTTTCATTCCTACTTTGTAATTACACTATTAGGTAGTAAATAATACAAGCCATTAAGAAATTCTTATTTTCCTTTCCTAATGACTCACATGCTTTATTTCAATTAAGCAATTCAATTATTTTTCAATTGAATCACACAGTCAAGTAATTCCTACAACAGGTGATTATCTGTACACTATTTAGTCTGCTTTCAAGGTGCCCATCATCATACTTATTCAACTTTTTCAATGACTACGATTCAATTTGATATAGTTAGTACATATACTAACCACAACTAAGCCCATGCAAAGACCTAACAAATTTATTTCATAATCTCTCTGTAAAAAGGTAACTATCACTTCTTAAATCTACCTGCTTATTACACAGTTTCATATTTGTTCATATTCAAAGTACAGACTAAAGTTTGATATACCATGCAAAAACCATCACCACTTCCAGCATCAACTTTGTTTATAAGACTGCTGGGCCTTCACTTGTTCTTACACACTGGAAGTTTTATTGGAAATCTATGGTGATGATCCTCCAGAATAATTTCTGTGGCTTGGAGATGGCATGTAATACCCTACAAAATTACAATGGAGACGATGTAGAACTGCCACATTTTTCAACTGAGACTCTACCATAACTGGAATATTTTACTGTAAACTGGAATGGGTAAACAGTAAGGATGTGAAGACACTATCCCTGAAGATGTTCAAAGCCCAAACAGATCTGGTCCTGAGCAACCTGTTGTAGGTGACACAGCTTTTTTTATGACTGAATTATGAGCTGCTTTAACTCGGAATGGCACTGCAGCTCATGCAAAACAGGCAGCACGCACAAGGCAGGAGACTGAAGTGGGAGCAACAGTGAAACAAGACTCTTCCTTCAATATAAGTTAAATTGAATTAGCCCTACCATGTCACTTCATCCCTAAAAGTTCTGAGAATTTTAGCAATATTACTTTTAATGTTACTGTTACACGGCAGCCTAGCCACACCTTATTACCAACGTTGCCTTATTCATCACTGTCTCCCACTGCCTCCCACATCAAAATAGTTATGCCGGAATAAAACTCTCTTCTATATTACAGCACTGGAATTGGCTCACTGCAGGGTCAGAATTATACCTAAGATGACTTAAAGGAGGTGGCAGGAATTCCTCATGAAGAGCCATAGCCCTGGGATAGAGAGCAAAGATGCAGTAAACAGTGGCAAGAAGCAAAACAGAAGGCTATGAAAGTTAAGTCCAAAACCTTAGACAGAAACTCACGCATCACCATATCTTTAAAGAATTGAACTCTTCTCATCCTCAATACATTTCAGACAGGGAAGAAAATCTTTAAAACTTTTTTTTTTTTAAACATTAGTCATGTCTCTTTCCTAATAATGCAAGGTGCCAGCAGCAACAAGCACACATAGGTGAAAAAAATCAGAACACAAATGTTGAAGTTACTAACACTGAAAATTAATAATTATAGATGTTTAAATCTTTTTTAGTAGCAAAAGTGTTGAAAACCAAATATTTATTTAAATAATTTAATGCAACAGATTTAATCTCTAAACTAAAGCAAATCTTAAATTATACTTCACCTTTTCCAGTTCTTTTGGTATCCGCATGCACGTGTATACTCTCTCCCTCCGCTCTGTGTATTTTGCTTCATTGTGTTCAAGGAAGTACCCTCTTGTTAGTTCAGCACTGATGAATCTCAGTAATGAAAGATCTACATTCAGGAACACACAAGCAGAAGACACTTCAGGCATGACCTCCAAAGAGTGAGAAGACTGCTATGCTTTTGTTACTTACTATGTTTCATTTACACCACATCAAACCCAGAAGGAGTTTGCTGATCAAACCCAGAGTGTCAGATAACTCAGTATGGAATGAGCTACAGGAGAAGCAAGACCTATGCTTTCCCATTCCCCTATTGTCTCCTAACAAACAAAACAAGCTACTTTTCCCAGTCAATCATTTTTGCCAGACATCCCATTTCTCCAAAACATGGCTCAAAGCAGCTACACTGAATGCAACATGCTGAGTTAATGTACTCACAGTCCTCCTAAATTTAATAAGCTCTATTTAAGACTTCTTAAAAGCTATTTTTTCTCTCAGCAACAGTAGCAACTTGTTCTTTAAAATAAAGAACAACTTTCTGTAAGATCAAAACGTTCATGGATACACAATCCCAACTGTTCAGTGCACAAACAGCAAAAGCATGCTGATCACTTGATGATCAGACTGAAGTCCTTCAAGACCAAAAAGCCATCAAGCATGTACAGGTCTTCTGCATTTTAACAGCTGTAGGTAAATAAGCCGAAGGCTGACTGACTTATGTTTAATCAACTCGTATGACTCCTAAAAAAGACTTTGTGCAGAGTAGTTTTGCAAAGAGAAATAAAAAATGGAATTTAAATTATGAAAACTCAGGCTGTCAGCAAAAGGAGGTTCAGCTTAAGCTTCACCACTCACTGACAAGGTTTGACAGTACCACCTCCTGGTAGCACTTCAGAAGTGACAAAACACTACAATAAAGTTCATTTCTGGTTATTATTGGCATATAAAAGTAGAAACTCTCAAGTGTTCACACACATCCAAAAGATGGAAATCACATATCTAGACAGATAGATGAAAAGCTACAAGGCATTAATCACGACACAAGAACATGCTTACAAGTACTAAATACAGATTATAGCCAAAGTCTTAGAAACTACTGGGGGTAGGGGTGTGTGGATTTTGCATGGCACAATGCTCTACATTTTTTGGGGGAAGAAGAGGCTGCATAACACACCCTTAGTAAAACAGCCTGGATAACAGCTGTGAAGAGAAGAATGCAAGTATAGATGCTATGTATGAAGAGTTCACACAAAACTGGCTGAGATGGTGGTTTCTCAATGCTCATCACAGTGAATATGAAGACGAACATTATTTGGAAGAGTAGCCAGAGAATGACAAATAGTTTTAAAGCAAAGAAGGAATCAGAGCAAACATAACTACAGAGGCAGCAGAAGAGGCAGGGTGTGTCTATAACCTACACTGCCTTGGCTGGGGGGCACAGGTATTGAGTGTGATTAGAACCTGTAGGGGTAATCCACAACGGGCATTTTGAAATTTGCAGATGTGTATTAGCATTCCGTGTACTGTGATTTATAACATTACTGATACTGATCACAGCTATACAATTTACTGACTGCTGGTTATTTATATATTGTTAATAAACAATTTAAATAATGATTTACTTTAAGCCACATGAACTGAACAGCTTTTCCCTGCACGAGCTTGTTTGGATAGTGATTTTGATGTTTTATATATTACTGATCCACTTCAAGTAAGTAGGCCAAAGCAACTGTAAGCCTTAAAGCTATTTATTTTACAACAAACAAAACCAACATGTAGTTTAATGAGTAGTAAAAAACCTAATATTTACATGTAAAGTTTTAATCAAAGTTCATTCCAGGGAAATAAGGCAGAAGTTCATGCTACTAAATCATTGTTCAGATCTCTCACAAACTTGTTTTCTGGAATCTTCCTTTGTAACACTATGACTTGTAACTTTTTTGTTTTTACCAATTATTTCTTGTTTAAAAAGTTAAAAGTAAGAAGAGATAACCTTAGGTATAAGCACACAAATTAACTACTCTGTTAACTGCCCAGGTGTATTTTCTTTCACCTCAGATAACCAACCTTCCCTAACTTAAAGATAAGTCATCTCAAACAACTGAAGTTTTCTGCAAAGTAAATACATGCATATGGGCAACCACCATGGGGTTAAGTCATGGGTCACTTCCAACTTGAGACATTCTGCTTCTAACGAATGAGTTGTTTGTTCCCACTCCTCCTCACCTCACGCAAACTGGTTCACAGGTCTATTGTTGAAAACCAAATGATTTTAAGTTTCTTCCATCTGTCGAGACTTTCATGCCCTAGATATTAAAGAGATAATCGCTCCTCATGACTGAGGCTGATCAATACACAAGCTCCAGACTGTGACTGCAAAACAATCTCTCCAGGGACAGGGGATGCACTGAAGCACAGGGCAGCTCAGCCCTCTCCAGTCTGAGCAGCAGTTGCTGTCACCCAGCATCAGCCCTAGCTCTGTGCCAGCTGTGAAATAGATCAGTGGCTGGCCCTGTAGGAAAATCAGAGTAAGCAAAAGAACAGGATGAGACACCCAGGCAGGACGGAGTAATAAATCATCTGAAGAATGACTTAATTCTGCTATCAAAGTATCATTTTCTTTTAAAATAAGTAAATATTCTAATTCCTACTTCAAATTCCTTCCTTACTTCAAATTTCCCTTCTTTGCAGTCAGAAAGTTTTAGACTGTGGCCTAGGTTTAAACTGTTCAGATAGTATATTCTTAACACTTAGAAGTATTCTCATTTACCTCTCCACCTCAGGACAGAAAAGCATAAGCATCTTCAAAACATAAAAGGCCACTGATTCCTTCAAGGTAAAAAGATAATGATTTACCCAAGTTATGCTTCAATCCACTGCTACATAAGAGATAACCATTAACCAGAAATGGAGAGGGAAATCTGTGCAAATGCGAAATGCACCGCACCTCAGCAAGTTACAACTGTTATATAATCATAACTTTAATCCTAAATGCAACAATTCCAGGCACTCACTTCGCCAATCCTAAATACACACTTTGTCATGAACACTCAAATCAGTCACGACTAAAACAGGACAGTATTTTTTTAAAACATTTCCTTCTCCTCTGAACAACCTCTCTGTACAGTACTGGTCTTGTTTTACATCTTGAAAAAATCTTACTTCTATGTACTATATAATGTAGTGTTACAGTTAGATGAGTTAGAATTTTTAGTTGTTCTATCAAGAAGTCTTTTCTTGAAATATTTTCTTGTCCTGAAGAGTTAGGGAGCATCAACGATTTTTAACTATTTTTTAATTTAAAATCAATTGCTAAAAGATAGTTAGGAATTCACACACAAAAAATTTCCTTACTTTTTATAAAGTTATTTATTCTGTTGTCTTTCAGGCACATTGGTATGTAACTTGACAATTCTGTTTTTCACCACAGAGCAATTAATAATACTACAACAAAGCCAATTCCTTACAATTATGGAAATTCCATGAGTTTCACCAATACCACTGAACTGCAGTCAATGATGCTGCATGCCCCATGACATAAGCCATCAGAAATGGACACAGCACCTGTCAAGCTTAGAAGGAAAGCACTGAATTGTTGGCAGACTATTTAAATTAAATCTTAATTTCTATTATTTCTTTTTTGCATTTGATAAGACCTATGGTATCATATTCAAGCCAACATTGAGGCAGAAAGCCTGGAAATTTGAACACCACTTTGAGCATTTTCCAGATTTTCAGCAAGCCACGCAATTAAGAATACGGTGCTAATAAAGTTATAAATAACCTTACCAACACTGAATCAACCCTGCCACACTGAGTAACAATTTAACAGAAAAAAAGCAGGGCTATTTTCAAAGATTACTCTGTGGATAACTAAAATAACCAGTTCAAGTGTAAATATAGCTGAAGATTAATAGCAAAGGCCATGATGTTTTCCTTTATTTTGCCTGTAAAATCCTCAGTTAGTAAATTACATTTAGTTTAAGAGACTTCTGATAATCTGCATACAACTTCAAGGCTCTAACAGTACCATTACTTCCAGTTGAGAAGCAAAGACTACTAGACTCACAGTTATGGGTACGTAACAAGAAACATTAGGAGAGTGAAGCATTTCTCCTACTTCAGCAAGCAAGCTGGTGAGCCCACAGCCCTCCCGGCCGTGGGGCTCAGGAAACACAGGATCCAGCTCTGATCCCCTCTGCTTCGCTCAGAAACCCCTGTGGGACCTCGGCAAGTACCAAACCGAACAACCCGAGTTCCCACTTCGGTGTGTAACACCTCGAGGGACGGTGCCCCTGTTGCTAAATAACCTCGTGAAATAATCACGCCACCGACAGGACACAGGGACTTCACTGTCCCCTTGACCCTTCCTAAACACGCTCGTGTGGAAAGCGGGGACACAACCAGACACGCTCGGAGGCTTTATTGCTCAGACACGGCCGAGTTCACTCACTAAACTTCAAGGCAGGGAGAGAAGCGGCAGCGCAGCCAGCGTGGAAGCTCCCCGCCCGGCCGGCCTC